AGCGTCATCGTGCCTAAACACGTAGCCACCCCCAGCCAGGCAAGGTAAAACGACCAGCCGTACCACTGCACTGCGTTGTCCCTTAAAACCTGCGGGCAAATTATTTTGTAAACAGTCGTGTTTCTTCTTCGAAAACCCTTCTCCTTTCTCTGGTGCCACTGTTTCTGATCCTTGGTGCCTTCTGGCCGTTTGGGTCGATGCTTCGAATAGTGAAGTATGGCTGTAAGGAATTTTTTATTTGGAACCAGCAAAGTGAACCAATATCTAGTTGTTCGTGAATCTTTTTATCGAATCCTTTTATCGATCTTTTTATCAGCTGGTTGGTTTGGATTTGCGTTTGCAATTCGGTAAAGTTGGATATGAATTGGTTCAGCTTACTTGTATGATATAATTGCTGGAAATAGAATAATATGTAAATCGTAGAGATTGTTTTTAACCGCAAAGTTGCATCAGGATTGTTTAAATCTCGTCGAAACGAACATAGAAATATTTTCGTTTGGTAAATATTGAAAGCAACAAGGTACTTTCTATATTACACAAGTCCACTGCGGTAGCGAGTGTTTATCGTATCTTGATGCACACATTAATGGACACGAGACCGACTCCGGAAATCCACGAGCAATTACGTAATTAATTTTCATAGACGATAGTTTGAAAAATGATAGTTGGTACCGAGTGAAAATGTCAATAAATGTTAACAAACTTTGAACATGTGTACACGCGCGATAGCTGTCGTGTTAACCGGTGTCGGACTATACTAAAGTATATATTCATGGGTAGCAAAAACGTTACTTACGTTACTCCATTGTTGATAGTACTCTTCTCCGACGATTTTCTCTTTCTCATAATATTCCACTCCGTGCCAGAGCCCCATGGCGCTAGCACTTAATAGGCCTGTGTCGTCAAACAGTTACCATTTAATATACATAATACTATTCTTTAAATATAATGCTAGCGATCGTCTTTCTTAAGACTTAAGACTTTAACTTAACGATAATTTAACGATTAGAAAATATTGTGAAATTTTAATAATTGAAAAATATCTACACGTAGGTCTGCCATTAATCATAGAGTGAACGGTTAGAATATGCATTGAATTTACGAAGCCACTAACATGCTAGCAACATCAAGATTGCGGTGGCTGTGATATTTCCTGGTGACCTCTTCCAGCAGCCTACCACTCCCGTCCAGAATGCCGTAAAGATTGCGACGAATCCCACTATAAACAGAGCTATCACAGATCTGCCCATGTCTGAAAACCAATAAAGTACAGCGATGAAAATGTAAATTTAAGGTAATATCATTGAAGCCGTATCGATATTTTATTTAATTCGTTCTACGTACGAAGTCGAGTCATTGCATCGTCCGAGAAGCCCCTTGTTAGGTTTTCTTCGTCAGGGATGAAGTAATTGATGTTCATACAGTGTGTCTCCACAGGACTTAAGTAGGTTTGAACTGCAACAATTAGCCACGACAGAGAAACCATGTTAATCCGACGTTTAATTGACACGTGCACGGATGAATTTACGAAATCCGCGGGAAATTGCGAAAAATCGATGCAGCCTGTTTAAGGAAGTTTCACGGTTGTTGCCGATTAATTCGACGGCCATGGAAATCTGCCTCGGAGACGTTCTAATTACGCACGTGTCTAATGGCTAGTTGCAAAATGAACAGGATCCGAATTCTTCTACTCCTAATATGAATACCAGTTAGCAAACTATTACCTTTCAAACTGAAATTTATCTCTAGTTGAAACGCCATGAAACGAGATTATATTATATTCACGTGCTGATAATCGGTTATCTAGAAGGTAACAGCGAATAAATGTTGCTGTTGTAAGAAACAAAGTGATTTTTAATTGCTTGAAGCAACTATGTAACTCGATAGGTGATTCGAATGCTTGTTCGAATCAATTCGAATCGATCGTAGGAATTCTTGAGCTAGAAGGTGTCGAGTTTTTTTGTTACAGCCCTGGCATATCGTGTACACGCGTATCGAAAAGCACGTGACCCAGAATGCAATGCGCTATCACCGGCTGTAAAGAATGTATGTACATGGCATGTGTATACACACATGCTCAAGTTGGTTGGCTCGAGTATACCTCTATCTTGTCTTTCATGGGCAACGGTACTCTTTGGTCATTCCAAATCTACGAAATACTACTTTCGAAAGGCATTTCACGTAGTGAAAAGAAAGAGTCGCGCTCGTATCGCGATGCTTTCACGGTTTCCTGTCTTTCCTAGGAACGTCAAAGAAAAGTGTAATGACATTAATTGCGAATCACCGATCTTTTCGATCCTTTACCTGTTCTTCCTTCTTTCTTATATAGAAGGTGTGTAGAGATCTGTGAAATTTTCTATTCTTTCGAATTTAATTACGTTGAAAAATTATTCACAGATTTTTTAGACTTCCTCTTCTAGAAAGTTATTCTCAAAAAAAAAAAAAAAAAGAAAATTAGAAGATAGAAATGTAGAAATAATGTGTACGCGTAATTCGAGGGCTCAATTAAGAGGCGTGAGGGATGCATCGCGCAAACGTGCATACCGTTTGAAATATTTGAAATTCAGCCGGTGACGACCGTTTCCTCGACCTTCTTCGAATCTAGTTTCGCCTAAACGAGGCGCCATGCCAAGATCGTTGACTCTTGGTTAACTGTATACGCGTTAATATAACAGCTCGTCATTCAGAAATATTCGATCGTCGTAGCATCCATTCTGCCTCCCCCCCTCCTTCTTTTGACCATTCTTACTACGATTTGTCACCTCGAGCAAGACAGAAAATATTCAAATAAAAGAAAAATCTTGGTCGAAACCGGACGATGACCGGCTTCTTCAAACTTTTCACGCGTGTATCGACGATGATCGCCACGTATGCACCTGACCCCCATTTTGTAGGACGATTCCTGTCCGTGGAAATATCGATAAATATCTTTTTACGGCATTAAACACTGTCAATTTAATTCTGCACCTAACTCATTATAACTACAACACGTATTTCTGACACATTTCCATTATAATTACTTCTTCCAATGAATGCTTTTTTCTTGTTCGCCGAGGTCTACGCACTTACAATGATCACGTACGCTAAGTGAATCAAATACGAGACCGGAAATGGAACGCCGGAAACAAACGGAACGTCTGAACCGATAAGGAACGTACGGTCGAAGAACGGTATAAGACAGTACACGTGATGTATCGATCGTTTGAATTGTTTTCCGCTCAAACGACGAGAACAACATCCATCGTTGTTCTCATTCCTCGAGAATTTCTCAGTACTTTCTATTCACTGGCGTTTCGTTTCTCGGCGCGTTCGCGGTTATAATAAAACTCGATATCGCCTCGAACAACGATCAAAAATAGCAGTTTGTATCGTAGCTCTACCGAAAGTCCTTTGATTCTCCACGGCCGGTAGCGCTCTTCCTCCAAAGGATACAGGTTCTTCATGAAACTCGAGACTTCCGGACAAACTGGAATTACTCCGTTACACTGCGGCAAAGTTTAGAAAATGCCTGCGTTTCTCATCGTGAGAAAATGTGAACCTTTCTCGAATAATGAACTCATAGAATATTCAGGCTTCAACCGGAGGAATGAGTGGACGTACTAAGTGTTGATAGGCGTCGCGAATTAACAGTAGCTAGTTACAATGCTGTATTATAACGCTACCTTACGTTCCTTTACTATAGCAATCTGATTTATGTATCGTTCTCGATACCTTTTTTGGTTATCTCATCAACAAGGCCTAGAATGCTGTCTTGTTTTCTTTCTTTGAGATTTTTGAATTAAAATGCTTAATTTTCTATCGTCATTTATAGAGCAAGCAGCTTAAGGTGTGCGTGTAATATGGGAGAATATAAAATTCCAGCATTCGCTTATCGGCACTCATGCGAATCAGACGGCGTTCCACCTAGTCCCATTACCGTTTTAATATTTTTGCTTTCCGTTATTTTGTTCCTTTTATCTTTATTACTCTATTAAGAAAAACATTGGAGGTTCTTCAGAGGGATAAAGATAAAGAAACGAATTATGTAGAAAGTACGGGATATGAAATTTCGAACGTACGTCACTCGTATAATTTCAGATCTCCGAGTTTGATTATGATAGATATGAGTGCACAACTATGAATAGCAAAGTGTAAGCCGGTGGCAAGTGCCAGGTGCGGCAGGTTAATTCAGTCATAAGATGTTACGTGGCTCGCATAATCCTGTTTGTCATTGTCTCAACGCTCTTAAATCACCATGAATTTTTGTGTATGCTTCCTCTATCGAAGCTACATGGGATCTTGAGTAGCAATCGATCCATGCTGCTACTGTTAATCGCGAAGGCTGCTGTAATCGTCACGAAACTCCTCTCATTGAAAAAGTCGCAGAGAAAGACTTCGCCCTTTCGCGTTTGTTGTTTGCATATGAACAACGATAATCCTAATTGCATGCGCTGTGAAGACTGGGAAATGCGGCTCTTTGTTACGAAGCTGCTGCTCTTGGCTCCCTTTCACGGGCCTGGCTTCTTTTATTATGCAAACGAACTTTCCATTTGTCGAACTCGTGCGATTGGCCATTGTACGAGAATTTCACGCCGAATGGAAAGAAAATTGTTCAATGTGAATTTGAAATTTTGGAAAATTTATTTTCCAAGTGTTGCTTCCTAACTAGGTGAATAAATGTCCACCTGTATATTGTTATCCTTCTGTGTTACAATCGAAGGTGAGACATATTTACTATCGATACTTAGTACCTTACTGAATGCAGGTAGATTCGATTTTAACACGCATCATTACCATAGAAAGTTAAAAGGAAGAAAAGGTAGTGTAGTAATTCACGGATATTATGTATCGCGTGAAATTAAGCAGGTATCTTTCACGACAGATTTTGATCATTTGCATTTGCATTTGATATTTACCAGGCGACTGTGAAATTGTTCTCCGTGTGAAATTATCATTTCACACTGAGCTGAACAATTTCACACCAGTTCCAACTAACTAACGCTTTACTTTATTTTGTATTTGTAAATACACGTTTTCTAAACACGATATAATAAATACGAAACTATTAACATCTTAATCACGAAAATTTTAGTAAAATCATTTGCTAATGAGACTGCAGATTGATATTTCTAAATAGTTTATTACAACGAACGAATCAATATGTAAAAGAATCGAGTGAAAATAACTGCTGGGTATGAAATTATGGTCGCAACAGTCCAGTTATGGATCTAATTCTAACGATCACGAAGATGCGTTGGTTTCGCTGTAGAAAGATATCCAGAAGTACGTTCACAGAAGTACGTACAGAAGAAGTTCACACGAAGCAAACGATCTCATTGTGAATGAAATAATCTAAAATTTTCATGGTCTAACGATCGTTGGGTTCGAACCAGATCCTAATATCATGTTTAAAGTCAGTTAGATACTCGTAAAAAAAATTAAATTACCCATGATTACTTTGCAATATAAAAATTCCTGTCATTCGCAAAAACCTAATGCGGTTACCCTACTTTCCATTCATTGCTATGCAAGAAGCGAAAGAACAAAGCTTCGCATATTTTTACAGAATTTGACTAATCAACTTCTTATTGTGCATGTGACTGAGAACTATGTACAGTATCGATAGTATTTCCGTGAAACGCGTTCTCCATGCGATAGAAACAGACAGGATAGAAACCAGCCGAGTCAATATTGACCAAGCGACCTCGTAGAAGCTCGAAAGGGACGTCTTTGGACCATCACGTACACATCAGCAATTTCACGAGAACCGTTTCCTTTCTCCTCGAACTGCGTGCAACCGAATCGGCAGATTATAAACTCTTAACCTATTACGTGGGATCGAATAACCTGCGACATTACGATATCGTAACGTAGAAAGTCTCTGAAAGGCCGACATCTTTTATAGGAACCAGAACTCGCGAGAGTGAAAAGTCACTTTCGAGCTTTAGTCGCGCTAGGTTTTCCCAAAATTCTCGAATATTTTCTTATTCCCGGAATTTGCCTTTACTATTACAATGTATTCAAGAGATACGAAACCTTGCCAAACAATAGCCAATTTCTGTAAGCGAAATTCCAATGAAAGACAAATTGTACCGGGACTTTCATCAACGTGAAACGTTTGCAGGTGCAGTGGCAATGAAATTCGCGTATAGTATGTTTCACAAATATTTCACATTAGTTTTGATGATTCTTTAACAAATTGATCTTGAGTCGCGATAGATACAGACGTTGCAATAGATACGAGGCTTTCACTTGAAACTATGTACGTGCCAATTTACAACCGGCCAAACTATCACTTAGATAACGCGTTTGCACACATTTTGATAGCGATATATTCGGGAAAGTGCGATTACAATTATGCTTACCAGTCGGTGGCCTTTCTTTGGGATAGCATATCCTGAAGAGACCCTGCGTCCTCGTGTAGTAATAGTACTTTGTATTCATTTTCACCACCAAGTGGCTCTGCTCGGCATGCTTGGCTGCATATTGCTGCAACAAAACAATTTGTCCGAATGATTCACGCTATCTAACGATTCCTTCCCTTTGTATTCACACACGCGTCATTCTATTAGTTAATCACACCGAACAAACGAATCGTAAATGAGTGTAATCGACGAAAATGATCGGGCAGCCGGTGAAAACGATAGCGAGGGAACAAGGAAACATTGCTGCAACGGAAAGTGAACGGTCGTTGGTTTCCGAATGCAGATTAGACGTGGCTGTAGTCGCTTTATGGAAATGTTATGATCGCTAGAAAGTAAGAAAGCAAGAATCGCGATTCCTCGTGAATTCGAAGAGGCCAAACGTCTTTCGATACAATTGGAAAAAGTCCGGTCGAATAAATTACCAGAAATTATTCATGAAACGTCCTCGGTCGATTCTCGTGAAACCACCGTTTCACAACTTGGAAGGAATTTATCGCTGGTAAACGACCTATTCATCGACTGGTGCCTAAGTAAACCGATGATCGGAAGTGGGACATTATCTAATTAGAAAATTACCTAGAATTACTAAAAACGTAGTCGATTCAAAAAGGGAGACCTTTTATTTCAAAAAATTTTAGTTACAATCGCGTTGGTACGCGTTTCGGAAAGGGAAACTTAAGCTTTAGAAAATTGCCTGATCCAGGTACTCATAGCCCGGGAGTCACGCAGACTATCGCGTGGAATGAATTTTCGTCGGAAGTTACGTGTACCAGGTGAGGCTGAACCGAGTCCCGTGGAGGAAATTGCGGAAGGAAAGGAAATCACAGGCGTGTTACAAATTTTCAGTTCCAACGACAGGCACAGGTATCTATTCGTTCACTTCCTGAAGAAACGAAGCCGTGCGTTATCCTAGAAGGAGGCTTAGAGAGCGCGTTTACTCAACCATGTCGGCTCGAGTTCCGGACTTTCTTGCGATCGAGGATGCGCGCCATGCATACCGCCCTCGAAATTAAATGTAATTTTAGATCTTATGACAGCCCGGTGCAGAACCGTTCTTCTGCATCGTCGACCAAGTATGAGAATCCTTTTACAGCTATTCCTCAATATGGAAACGAGTTTCTAGTTTTCCTTTCTTACCACCGTTTCCATTTGCCTTCGTATATTCGCGTACATATTGTTCAAATTGTGTGAGAAAAAGAACGGTACTTTTATTTCTGGTTGCTTGATGGTTCAGTGGTTGTAATTAGGTAGTGTGCAAGTAAATTTAGCTTCCAGTTTCTTTTAAATCTAATTAAGAGAACGTGTTTGGGGAAGAGTCGAGGAGAGAGTGAAATACGTGACGGAGAGTTCAGGAAAATGAGCATCGCAGGCAAATTGTATATTTCTTCTACGATATTAAGTATATTTTTCGTGTCAAAGTTATCATTATACAACGAACTTTGATTATTCGTTTTATCCATCGATCCTTAAGCAACGTGCTAATTATTCGCGATCGTTATTTGGAAGATTACTGGATGTAGCGGAACCAGGACAATGACGCTATTTAAATCTATCGTGAATAACTAGTACCCACATCGCTACGAGTGTGCTACATTTTTTAAAGACCTGTTTAAAGACCCACCAGTACGAGCGCCCCGGTAATTTCTACACTTGTGTGTGCAAAAAAAAAAAAAGTAACGATAACATCGCGTTCGCGTAACATACAATTAAAGAATAATATAATATATATTATCATTGCAGAATCAAACACTATGACCGAATCCTTCGAAACTTTGACACACGAGAAATTACGGGCGAACATTGCTACGTCCTCAACCATAAAAAGGATTTAAATCACTCTTGTTTTACACGAATTCCTTGCAAGGAGATCGATAGGGGCCACGTCACGGTAATTTCCAGGACATCTCTATCGGGCTCATTTTAGAAAGTACGCTGGCAATTTTCTGATACAGCATCACGTAGAAAGTGTAATAAGGCATGCGGGGTCGCGCGGGAAATCTTTCGAGCGGTGTGAATCGCACGAAACCAGAAAACACTTGTTTTCATAAAGCGTTTAAGATCCGTGTACTTATTCCGCGATATAATGATGGCTCGCTACGCGTGATTCTCATGCGTGTCTCGAGCAATCCTAATTTCCTGGCAAACTACCATCAACATGTTTTCACCATTTCACGGACATCAAAACCTTTTTTCCTCAAGGTTTCATCAGGTATACTAATATACCTATTAAGAACATCGTAGAACGTTGATTATCCAAATACTATATATATATACATCGTCTCAAACTTTTGATTGGTCGATCGTTAATTTCTTAATTTCACCATCGCTTTTATTTCTCTGTCGCTTAATTTGTATCGAAATCCATGCAAATGCAACCTTAAGCTAAGAATATCATATATTACAAGTAGATTCGTGCATTTTGTTAGCCTATAATTATCATGTGAAGTAATGTTGGTGTAGTTTAACTCTATCAGACTTTGCTTCGGACATGTGCAAAACGCAGGAAAGAACAACATTCCTGTTTTTTCCCCTATTGGCTTATTTCAAAGCGTATGTACTTCCTCGTGAGCGTAATTCAGAAACGGGTTTCCTCTGAAAATGACGCTTCCCGTTCGTGTTCCGACGTGATTACGCGAGATCATGACTATCGAGACTATCGACTACTGTAATCGTTTGCACAGAAGCTGCAAGGGAGCCTGTGTTTCTAGAGGAAACTTGAGAAATTTCGCATCCCACGTTCATGCTTGAGCATAAGGCGCGGTAATCGGATTCCGAATACTCGCAAGTTGTGAAATCTTCTTAACCTTGAGGAACATCCACGCCTCATGCAACATTTTTCTATGAGAGTGCACGATCGGCGCGATAAGCATTGTTAACGATATATCGCTTTAATTTCGCAACTTTTTCATTCTTCTTACATTCGGTTGTCTTCGTGAACCGATTCTCATAAATCTGATTATGAATGATCGATTGGAAATGCATAATATATTGTAATGATATGGAAATAGTGCTTGTAAAAATAGCAAAATCGCACAACCTGTTTCCCGACGATGAATCACGCGACTTCCTTTCTTTTTCTGCCCACTTTTATGCTCGCTACCAAATAGATTGCATTAGATCCTCACGTAAACTTGGTACTACTGCATTTACTTTCCCGTGTCTATCGCAAACTGCAGATACGAGATTATCAAACTCGCTTTACTGTTTTACAAATCATCCTATCACTACGATATTAGAGAAACACTGGAAGAAAAAGAAAGTCAGTCACGGATAGGGTCGATAATTTCTGAAGATAAACGGTTCTTCATAGACGCTACAATAGATTTTAGTGTAATATAGTATCCGCTTTCTCAAGGATCCAAGAATCGTCAGCGTCGAAAACGACTTTGAACGCCAGGGAACGATTCGACTTTCCGCAATAATTAGTGAACAGGTGAACACGCACGAGTTGCAACCGATAGTCGGTGGTAAGAGAGGAAGAACGAAGGTATCCCGAGCGCTTGCAAGGTACACGTGAATCAACGGCACGTATAACGGACTCACGGTCCTTAATCGTTTGTCACGTGCGTGAAAAAGAAAAGAAAGAGTCGTAGAGGCCCATCGAGGCTTGTCCAGGTCGTTCCAATCTGCTTTCACATCGTTGTTTCGCCACCGCCACGCCGCGCTGTTTGCCTCGAGCGCGGGAACATCGTCGAGCCTCGGCGATTTCTTTGACATAGAAAGGAAAACGCAGACCCGACGCGCGCCACTCAATGGGGATCGTTAGACGTTAGAGTTAGACGAGAATCTTCGGCTCGCCACGAGCCAATTGTCGCGATGGCAAACCGTCCAAGACTCGGTTTGAACGCGATTCAACTATCCCGCGGCAATTAAACTGTCTTTTTTGCGGAGAAACTTAATATCGCGATGAAAGTGCGTTAATTAGTCGAGATTTTACTTTTCTTTCGTTTTGGGAGGTTCAACGAGTCGAGGATGCCTCGCGACAATAGAGATCATTCAAGTAGAGAGAGGATCCGCAAGCATGATTGATCATGGGGATTTGACGTTGCGTTGTCTCAGGTAATTAGCTTTTGTGCGTAGGAAACGAAGCAAAGACCGGGGTCTAGGGTACTGCGTGAATCTCTTGGCCAATCTTCTACGTTGCGTCAACTCTCTATATTCACTCGTATCGAAAGTATATTTCTTTATAAAAATTCCCTGGTGAAAACCTGACGGAACAAATAGGTGAAAACCTAGGAATACAAGATTTCATAAATAAACGAAAAATAGAGATATCGTTGAGTAATAAAAATTGAACTACGCTTATTCGGTTCGATGCAGCGGTTTTCAATTGTATAACACGTCGACAAGCGGAAATGCAACGTGTTAAGTTCAACCGTAGAATCGTGAGCTAACTTATGCACCGGTATCACAGTTAAAGGGACAAGTATGCGCCACATTCGCCAACGTTACGGCAACCTTGCGAATGATAAAGTGCGAAGTATGCCCGTGTGGGCGACAACGCGTAACCTCTGCACGTCAGCGCGTGGGATGATAATAGTTGGCGGGGATTTTCTGAAAAAATTTACCCTAGATACGATCTTGACATAAATCGGAAAACGTCCTGTTTCTAGCGACAGGAGAAAATGTACCAGGTTCCCTTTGTTCCGTCTAGATCGATAAAAAACGCGAATGATATATGGTAATTGTACGATTATATCGAGTGCATTATTAGCTTGTTACATGGTTCATTTATGCGATGTCTTGTTAACCAACCCTATTACCATGCAGGAACTTTCACGGCGGTACGGTCGACATTTTATTTTTTGTCTCAAAGACGCCTTTCCAGAATCAACAAAGTTGCTAGAAAAAATGTTCTAGATTTTATCATCTTTTAACCGGAAGAGGAAATATTACAATAAAAAAGCGTTTGTTTCTACACGTTATGGAAAAACGTTCTCCTCGTCAAATTATAAATTATTCGTTTTTATTGCAAGCAAATCTATCTCGGTAAAAAATCGCGTTTGCTTCTACTTTTTCAGCAACCAGTAGCGCAAGATATACATGTCCAAAGCAAAAAGGGGATATTGCGAGTTCAATGTCCTTGCGGGTTCGACGCATTAATTAAATGCCCCTTATCGCGGCCCGGATTAGAAAAAAAGAACATCGCGGCTCTGCTCACTGTGAAAACTCGTTCTTCAATAACATTTCGATTTTGCAAATGGAGCAACTTTCATTTCGATTTTTCAACACTGTTACGCGGTGAACCAGCCATCGAGTTTCCATCGATACACGAATAAATTTTCTTCGCTTTGATAACATTAATTTTCTACTGTCGAACGACATCTTCGTCTCTTTATTCGAGCTACGTTACATTTTATCCACCTATAGACATCCCTAGAATTTGATACGTTTCGATCCAGACGATCGAAACTTTATCGTCGTAAAAACTAAATTTACTAAAAACTAAAATTGAGTGCCTTCGAAGAAACGAATAGGAAACGTGATTTTACAGGGAACGCTAGTTTACGATGGATTTTTCGTTTATATTTCTCGGTTACTTCAAGTTTGCGTAATTCGTTTCCCTCGTGCTTTGAGCAATTCATCCAATCAACTATTCGAGACATAAAACGAAGGATTCCGTTATTTCAGGGAATATAATTCCGTGCATCCAGCAGGGGAACGCGAGGGATGTAATTTCTCAGCTGTTTCTAGCATTCCACTCGTGTAATCACCTGTTATGCGCATTGGAGAATCACGTGGCCGGAAATGTGTGTAATTTCCTAATTTTCCTAGAAAATTTTAATTTCTTCTTATAATCTCTTGCAGCTTCTAATCTCATGCAGCTCGCTCTCAGTTTATTTTTACGATTACTTTTCCTAACA